TGATGCTCATACTGTTGGTCACTGGATTGTCTGGTACAGACATGATTATTTACAGACCGCCGCCATATAGCTGGACTATTGCTTAGTGCGGAGTTAAACAACAAACCAACCAACCAATCAACCTGTAGGCTAGCATTATACAACCAGGATTTGGGATGACTAGTACAAGCTTTGTAATATGCATGAACGCGGCGTTAGACACCAGTTCACCCCACCTTACCTTATATCAGATGACTGAAAAGATGACTAGAAGGTCACTGTGGTTATTGCTAAAAAGCGGCGTAAAACTAAACTCACTCAGTCACTCACTACAAAGAAAACTATACAGCAAGATACATACACAACCCAAGGCTATAAAATAAATGTTGAAACACCGTCTTGATTCAAAAACTTTCAAGAACAATAAATCTCAGTCAGACTTGTAAATAATATACCTGGAACATTGTTAAGATTTTTGATGATGAAGTCTTAATTATTTGGCTCCTAGGGTGAGTGAGTTTACTTTTACGCCGCTTTTAGCAATCTTACAGCAATATCACGGCGGGGGACACCAGAAATTAGCTTTACACATTGTACCCATGTGGGGCTTCGAACCCGGGTGTTCGGCGTGACGAGCGAAGGATTTAACCATTAGGCTACCCCACCGCCCCCTAGGGTGACTGAGAACTGATTGAATACCATTTAGATGTCAGTTTCTGTCGAGACATAAACAAAAAGTGAATTGGTTTGGCCCCGATTTGATCCCATGGTTATTGGGGATGAGAAACACCTTCACTAAAATCATATTATTTATCTTATTCCGTCTTTCTAACCACAACCACGTTCACCATCGTTTTCATCATCAATTATATTTTTCAAATGAAGACAGGATATACAGCGGGTTCAATATTAGAAATGAGAAGTCGTAAAGTATCTGAAAACAAACGTTCAGATGGTAAAGTCATTTGACAATAATAGCTGTCAAAGCAAGAGATAAAAACAATTGTCCCCGTTGAAATGGAAAGGACAGGCCCCTAGTAACTTACTGGACTCTTCGTATTGTCAGATGCGATGCCTTACTGACTGATGTTCATTATATCTATCACTGGTTCATCTTGAGCCAACAATTGAATATTACTTCCACATCATGGATTATAGCTGAGTGTTACATAAGATACAAAAAATAGGATATTGACGAACCATAGAGAATTCTTTACAAAGTGGACACACAAAACTGAACATTTTAAGTCAACAATGGAAAGATTCCGGATATAACAGACATTAAAGGAAAGTAGTATTATGAGAAAATATGACTGTAAACATTTGTTGAAAGCGTTATAGCTTCGTGGGTGTGGACACAAGCTGCGTTTATTACTCCGTCTAGACATCAGATTAAATTGTCAGCTTGTTGTTTGTCATAAAGGTCTAACTTACGCAACTACAGGTCACATTGCATAAGTTCTGGGGAAAACCATAGAGAAATTACGTATTAACCATTATATTTTGTAAGTCGGAAAAATTACTCAAATCTGTTGATCTTACTCGGGTTGGGGGCGGGTGTATCAGAGGGGGTTTAATGTTCAATTCGATCGCAAGACTTGAGGACCCTTGCACGACTATTCGGTCAAACTGTGTCCCTGTTTAATAAGTGGCTTGTCAGATTGTTATATTCTCTTTAACAACCATGGCTAGATAGAGCTTGACCGTTGCAGGATGTCATTTAAGTGGGGAAAACAGTTTTAATAAATATTTTCTTGAATTAGTTTCCTATATTCTTTATGTGTGCACACATATCTATTTCTCTTTCACGGGGTTTACTTATGCACCTCCTACGTGTGATTATGTATACTGACCAGCAAAAGAAACGTAATGCAAGAAATCAAAACAATTGTGTTAAAGTATCAAATCGAAACTCATGCTGAAAAAGTATAATTTTCATGAATTTTGAGTTGCGTTTTTATTGCTGGTCAGTATAACTGTTTTTGCAATGCAAATACACATACTGATGGCAGCAACATAGCCAATTATAAAATAAAGTATGCCTTTATTTCATAGTGCACAAATCAATTCCACATATTTATAACCATGTTCGTTTTGATTTTAATGCACTAGCGTCCCTTACTGCACTCGAAGAGAGAACTAGTTTTACTGACACTGACCGGGCCTGCAGAACATGTGAGTGAGGGGGTGAGTTAGTAGAGGGGAGGAGGGAGTTGTTTTTCATGTCATGCAAGGATGTGTTTTGCAGGCACTGTGGACATATCTGAAGCGGACAGAGAGTAGCAACCCACATGTCCTTCTGCTCCCATACCACAGACTTTGACCTGGAACAAATGGGGCACCTCCCAGAAACAGTTCAAGATAAGATAGATCTACAAAGGATGTTGACGCGTCTTTTCCATACCGTCCATAGTGCATTACAGTCTGGATGATGGCGTGCCAGTTAATGACATTCCAGCAGAAACTTACCATTAAGCAAATAGAGAGCATATAATTAATTGTATTAACTTGGCACCAGATCTATATACTTGACCCAGATATGGTCCATTTCCATCTCATAGATGATGCCATGCCAACCATGGTCCCTAAAACATTGAGGGTCGGTCGGTGGGTGGGTTGGTGGTTGGGTGAGTGGGTGAGAAAGTGAGTGATAGTGCGTGCGTGTGGCTGGTAATGCTTTACGTCACTTGTAGCACATTCCTGGAATATCACGGAGGTGGACACCATAACTAGGCCTCAGGGAGTGCACGGATCATTCTGCATTCAGACTTGAGTGAGTGAGTTAAAATTGAAAGTCACTTTGGCAATATTTCAGCCATATCGTGATTAAAACAGTAAATACTTTATAATTTTATATTTTAAAATCTGTCGCCAAAGGACTGTAATACAACTAGTATATCACAGTTGGAGATATAAAACTAGCAGGTAACCTAACATCATAGAGTATTTAAGACATTACGACATAAAAATGGGCTATAGATCACCAGCAACTGGCATCCAGACTAGAAACACATCCAAGTGTACACAATAGGTAAGAAATATTGGGGAAAGAACGCGTTTAGTTATGTGTTAAGGAATTAAACATACATTTCTATAAACAGGCAAATATTAGAGGCAAGTTTAGGCTTCAGTTGAGAGTACAATCTTTTCATAAGGCTTTACATGAATGCATCAAACAGGATTTATGAATGTAGATAAAGCAAATAAGTTTGTTGAAATAGAGAAGTAATACTAAAACGTACGAAGAATACACATTTGCTTTTAGAAAGCGGGCAAATGTAACGTGTTATATTTGAGGCTTGACCATTTTCTGAAAGACACCGTGTTGTAAAAGCTATGGTATTGACACTCGTGGTACACAAAGTATGAGGTCTAGGCTACCATTTTGGTGTAAGCCATGGTCGCTGAGTGGGTTAGATGGCTGACTAGGACGTGAACATGTTTTGGAATCTCGAATGCTACTCACACCCAAGGATCTGTACTAAGAAAGTGTAATGACACATATAACAGGTAAATTTGACCATTGCCTAAAAGGCATTGTGTTTTCACAGCAGTTGGACATTTGAACCGTACAAAGTAGTCCTATAAGCAGCTAGAATTTCAGAAACAATGTGTCAACTGTTAACTCGTGGTTACATAGCCAAACATGAACATGTGGTCCGTTGTGAATGATTTGGTGGCTTTGGTAATGTTCACCGATCAGCAACGGTATTTTGATTTGTTTTGTTGTTTTATACCGCACTCTGCAATATTTCAACTATATGATTGCGGTCTGTAAATAATCGAGTCTGGAACAGACAATCCAGCGTATCGATCATGAGTATCGATCTACGCAACTGGGATAACATGACATGTGTCAGCCAAGTCAGCGTGCCTGACCACCCGATTCTGTTAGTCGCCTCTTACGATAAGCATGGGTTACTGAAGATCAATTCTAACCCGGATCTTCACGGGTCGTTGTAAAAGAACGCAGATCATTATGTTATGATCAATCTAAACATGTTTCCAGTCATCGTTGGTTCTTATAGCGACGTCTTCAAATTTGTTGTTAAACTATTTTATCTCAAACTTCACGATTGTACTCGCAACGTTAACACGCCTACGTTGTCGTGCAGTATTAGCCGATCAAATCATCTACACACCACGCCCATATCGGTGCTCGTGTTAGTGCTACAAGGTATATTTCCTTGTAATTGAAATTCTTTTGTAATCAAGGCTATAGCAGCTTTTTGTTTGAGACATAGAAGAGTAAATAGAGTTTCGGCGTTGTTCATATATTTTCTGAAACCACCACGTGTGCATTGCACATTGAACACTCCCATGTTTACCCCATTATAGACAGAAAAACAACAACCTATGTTTGATCTTTAGAAGTATCTAATCGGTTCAAACACACCCCTTAAAACGCAGATGCTAACATTCAATATAAATATCGCGGACATCTCATCATGTACTCCGTGTAAACAAAATGCAATATTAAAGAGGATGAATTGTATGTGCGATGTCACCGCCTGTGCCACTGATCACTTGATTGTTAAAACGACTGTTGTATTTTCTCCACACCTGGGGTGTTAAATTTGCCTCCTAAATGTTTTTGTGACAATGTTATGCAGTCACTCTCTCACCTGGGGCTAAATGGTTTAACTTTGTTGTACGACTGTGTCCGGTATGTTTGAACTTTTATAAAACAGCAGTACCACATAAATGTTTACATCAGATCTTATGGCATTTCTGTCAATACACCTATTATACTATTGAATCACTAGTGGTTCCGGATTGAAATTTTTTTATTGTTATTTTAACTGTTATCAAAGTGCGAGACAAGCATTCCATAATCAAAGAAGAAACTACGAAATACGTGGACATTATTTATTGCTGAGATGCTGAAAGTAAACGCCTGAATATCAATTATTAGCACAATAAACTCTTTACCCGGATGCACTGCTATGCGTCACCGAATCTTTACAAACTGTGGTGTAAGCTATGGAGATGGAGATAAACAGGTCATCACGTCAGTGATTTGAATGGTCAGAAGATCGTCATCCGCCCATCCCCAACACTGTATATATATTGGGTGTGATTATCCCATCAGCAGTAGTGGGACGCAAGTCAGTGAACAATGGTACTCTGCAGCATATGGGTGTTTGTGGTGCTGCTGGTTGGCGGTGCTGCAGCCGAAGATGAAGATGGTAATGTCACCATGAGCACAGATGTGCGTCGCATGGTAGGTCAGACCATCAGCATGGGGCCAATGATGAACTTGACCGGTCTGCAGCTGACTCTGGGGGGGGAGTGCCACTCAACATGACGGGATTCACACTCACGTTTAACGACGCGGTACGTATAACGTTAGCAACAAACAGTAAACAAACAATATTTATTTCTTTTCAAAATAAAAATAGAGAAAAAATGTTTTGTGTGGCTGTTCCTTTGTACACTAAAATGTTATCTTTCTAATATTTCTTCCGTCAATGTTTTCCCAAAGTCGTTCATACTTGCGTTTAAACAAGACTATGAAAACAATGTCCAACCAATGGATTTCATATTCAGTGATGTAATTGATGGCAGCATATCGTATTCATTGTGCAATTCAAGCAGCCTATCTCAGCATGATGTTAAATGTTCTTTACCGAATCTTTCAGCTAATACTCGACAGCATTATCCGAGGAAGATCAATCGTGGACCTGCTATACATAGCATGCAAAGTGGCAGAAATCGAAGGAAGGATAGCAAGCGCCCTCAGTCTGCCGCTTGTAAGACTACTTTAATCCTTGTAACATGATGTGCTTCTGTTTCCCAATATATAGTCCTAATAGGGCTGAAGAAAACGCCCAAATTATGTGACATTTCATCTGCTGAAACAATATATAGTCCTTATAGGGCTGATGAAAATGCCCAAATTATGTGGCATTTCATCTGCAGAAACTCCACTGTTTGTTACAGCAGACCTTCCACACTGACGTATTGACCATATGCTTGTTTCTAAATTGTAGATATCGACATTCTAAATGTACACATTCCATAAGTAAAGAAGTGGCATGTTCAGCAGCATGTTTATACCTGCTTGCTCTCGAAACGAAAAGATATGGATACTTTGTATGCAAATTTAATGTACTTTGATTATAAATACTTTCTAGGGTCTTCAAGACATACACTATGATGTTACACTGCCAGCTTCAGCACTCAGTCAGGGTTAGATTATTGCATACCGTAACAGCCAATAACACGTAACTGTCAGACTCTTAGCATCCAGATTTCCTCTGTTTACATTTCCAGACAAGCATCGCAATTGAAAGTATATTCGACCCTTCGGACGACATTCCTCTTGATCGTGCCGATGTTGACGCTATAATAGGAGATCTGAATGACGATCCTACAATCCTTGAGTTCCTGAGAAATTCTACTTCCGTTCTGGCCAGAAGGAAACGGAAAGCCCTGGTCGATTTAAGATGGCCTGGCACCGTGATTCCTTACCAGATCACATCCGACTTCAACTTGTGTAGGTATCCTTTCAGTGAAATTACTGCACATGTGAGCCCATTGGTCCACATAAATCTATTTTACTACCTATGAGGGCGAACATATCGGGGTTCATATTTTTCATTCGATGCCCTAGGGCAAAATATCATGTTGTCATGGTGACGTGACGTCATGAACAATTCTATGACGTCACGTTTCTTCTGTGACGTTGCGCTCTACATTCGCTCCTGTCATACTATAATTACGACACTCGTGCCTAAATATCGGTATATCCATCGCTCTCGTTCGGGAAATACCAACACTAGGGCTCTCGTGTCGTAAACATAGTATGACATGAGCACTCATATAATATCCCCTATTTACCTACTCAGAAGGTATAGAATACTGCTCATAAAATCAATCACTGGCTTGTCTGTCCAAGACTCGCTTAATGACGCCGACATGTATAAGGAACGCGGCATTAAAGAACAAATAAACACATAACTATGTACAATCGTCAGTGGTTTGAAGTAAGTACGTACTTTTTACGAAATTGGCAGTTTTATGCATGTACCCATTTTATTATGTTGTTTTTTTTGGTCTAAAATGAATCGGATGGTCAGGCTTTGTGATTTGATCGACTGCATGTAATACCGGTGTTTCATCTTCAGTCCCAGACAGTAGGCAGGCCATACTGGACGGCATAGCTTACTGGGAGAACGAGACGTGCCTGGACTTCCAAGACGTTGGTGCTGCCGCGGGATCAAAGATGGTGTTCAGGCGACTTGTTGGGTAAGTGACGTTGGGTATCACATTATATACATTCCAGAACCTGGCCACGGAGACTGCACTCATGTGGTAACGCTGCGAGTGCTCCAGGAAGAGTTTTCTTTGTAAGCGCCACAATCCAGTTCACACTCACACTTCAGTTTGAAAGGGTTGCCAAAGCCCAGCCAACATGCATGTGAAGCATGCTACCCACCCATATCATGGAAAGCAGTATATCTGCCTCTCCGTTCAAGGGTATAACATTTGTGAATGTTCTATCCGTTTCATCCATACACGTTAAATTGCCAAGGAGAAGACTTTCATTGAGGCTGAGATGGCAGATAGTGGGTATGCGAGCCTCAGCTTGGTTATTACTACTCATCCGGAAAGACCAACAAACAGACGTTGTTAAGGATCGATGAAGACCAGGGCAACCCAGGATGACCACTCCATTGAAAAATCGCAATCTGGTCCGTTACACCACATTGCCTATTCATTGTTTGGTTTATAATGTTGCTCGAATCTGCTTCCAACGAATATATACAATTGTATATTGTTTGGAAGCCCAAACTCAATAATTAAATATCCTAATTTCCTTCCGTAAGATAATACGATACGTTAAATTATAATATGCTGGATGTCAGTCTTCAATGGAATGTTCTTGGCTCGGCAACGTTCATACAGTATTCACCGTGAACAATATGGAGCAGGATATGCTCATCTTTAATAACTATATATTTGATTGTGACACCCCATACCTATGTTATAGTCGTTATGCAAACGTGGTTATTTGTCGTCACCAGGTGCTGGTCCTTCCTGGGTATGAAACCTTATCCTCAGACGATATCCATTGGTGCCGGCTGCAATCAGGTCTGTCTATGGGTCCCTCCATGTCATGTACTACTTATGTTGTTTGGTATTTCTGGGTATAAAGATGTGTGTAGGTGTAATTTATGTCAGGTTTAGAAATGGGACTTTTAAGAGACTTTTCTTTATGTCTCCGACTCCATTCTACATTTCATTTTATGCAACAAATTATTGTATTCACAGAATATTATACTGGAATTCTCTATTATCGCGGGCTCTCTATTATATCGACACGTAAAAACATCGGGAGAGCAGAAACACCACGCCCCGCATTGGCTTTTTACATATGCAAATTACGTAAAATACATTCATCGCTTTCATAAGAATGTCATGTCTAATTGTAGAAACATTAAAGAATTCATTTTCAGTAAGTTCTGCAACATTTTGAAACTAGTATGACCCCTACTGCCATTACATGCATTATCCTAAAAATATACCAGGAAGTGACGTATTATGCAAATTCACTCTGCACACGGCAGCAAATTGTATGGTACATTTTAAGGCGGCAAAACAATATGTTGTTATGTTATTGTTACCTTGCATCCAAATGAATAGAAATTTCAGATGTTTTGGTTAAAAACATGATGATATTACTTATGTGAATGAAATTCCTACATATGTTTTTTAATAATAAAACTATTTAGATTCGTTACTTGTCTTAGTAAACGTTTCACAGTGTCATTTGCTTGTACCGCGTGCCATAGTAAGAAAATAGCATTATCGCGATAAGTTGCTTCAATTTCCGGGTCAAACGAGACAATCGAGATTGCTACGATCATATTGAATGAGTTGCGACTATGTGCCACAATGTTTGTGACAGAAATGAAGATTAAACATCAGTCAACTGTAAATATGTATAAAATGCCAAATGTCAGAAGCCGTTCATAATCCCGATGGCGACAACATTAACTACCACGATAATGGAGGGTCCCATGATACCCCCAGTTCTCAGCAATGGTCTCAGTAAAACGTTTTCATATGCACCTTCTGTTTTTGGCAAGGTACAGTCTGACAGATCTGTCTGATTTAGTGAATCCAATGATCCATGCTTTCATTTCTCTACGATTCTACTGATTATCACAACACTGAATGTATGTGTTTTAGAGAGGGGTTGTAGCCAGAGAGATTGGCCATGCTCTGGGATTCGTGCCAGAGCATCAGAGACCAGACAGAGACCTATATTTGAACATCAACTGGAGCAACGTGCGTCCTGGCAAGCTTCACAAGTTCCTCAGAACCACCTGGAGACGCATCGTAACGCTGGGCGTTCCTTACGACTACTCCTCCCTACTGCACTACGGGGCATTCGTAAGTAGCATGATTACTAATAGCTGCTTTTCATATTAGCATCAATCAAGTTTTGTTGGCCTCGCGGTTTGTCTGGAGTAACCTGAATGTATTGTGAAATACGCTTTCCTCTATAAAACAAATTAGTATGCAGTGGTTTTTAGAAACTGTAAGAGAGACAAGAACATTGAATTGTACTTTTCCGAATAGTGAGTGAGTGAGTTCAGTTTTACGCCGCACTCAGCAATATTCCAGCTACATGGCGGCGGTCTGTAAATAATCGAGTCTGGACCAGACAATCCAGTGATCAACAGCATGAGCATCGATCTGCGCAATTGGGAACCGATGACATGTGTCAACAAAGTCAGCGAGCCTGACCACCCGATCCCGTTAGTCGCCTCTTACGGCAAGCATGGGTTACTGAAGGCTCATTCTAACCCGGACCTTCACGGGGCACTTTTTCGAATATATCCCAGCGCCCTTCCTTGAAGACAGACAAACAACCAAACGCGACGTGTTGCATGGGTCCCCTCAGCAATGTGGACCTTGATTGTTAGCAGCCAGCCATGTGTTACTGTACTGTAAAAAAGACAATATGCAATATTTCGCGATTTTGAGATGTAAGAATTTCTATAACACCATACACAGATGAGGTCGGGTTATATACACACGTGTGTGTGTGTGTGTGTGTGTGTTTTTGTTTGTGTGTTTGTGTGTGTTTGTGTGTTCAGTCTTAAAGTCTTCCTTCTTTTCGTTCGCCGTTACATGTAAAAAGTAATTATAAGTTACAAAGTGTGCCTTTCACCGTGATAAGGCACAAAATGAAACATGTAAGGTACACAGTTGTATTGAAAGCATAATAGCTTTAAGTTTTTCATTTTTTTTTTTTACAGTGGAGATGCAGGATTGGGGATAGTATGTGAACAAAGAGAACACCGATTGGGTATATGTCCGGTGATGGTAGCAACACATGCTTACATTTCTATTGCAGATGTTTTCCAACAATGGACAGAAAACAATCTCCGGGAGGGAACCTGACGTTGACAGGACTTTTGGATTCAGCAAAGCTCTCTCCTTCTACGATGTGAAACTTGCAAATTTATTATACTGTTCAGGTGGGTTATTAGAATATGTTTCTAATGAGGTTATTTGTAATATGATGTAGTATCTGATTGGAGGCTTGTGGCCTTGTCAGACCCTCGACGGACTGCTGTAGTAGTTGATGTATGCCACTTAGTGCGTGTTCATCCTGTGAACTGACAGGTTACTGATCAATGTTTTACACGCTTGTAATTGTATGGTAATGTCTGTAAAGAATATCAATAGTAACATGAAATGATAGCACTTTTTTCAGCTGCTTTCTTCCTGATCCTATTGGGTGGTAAAAGGTTGAAGGTGACGAGCCTACTGTAATCACAAGACCGCCTCCGTGGTGTAGTGGTTAGAGCGTCCGCCCGGAGTGCGAAAGGTCGCGGGTTCGATCCCCGACTGCGTCATACCAAAAGACGTTAAAATATGGTACTTGTTGGTCCCTGCCTGGCGCTCGGCATTAATGGGTACATCAAGGACTGGTCGGCTCGGAGTCAGTATAATGTGTCTGAGTGGGGTATTCATGCTTCACTGCAGCATGGTATCTCAGTGGGCTAGTACTATAAAACCAGCTTAAGTCTGGGCTAGTACAAGCAGCCGCACATACACATACACACACGCATGCACGTCGTCATATGAGCGAAATATTCTCAAGCACGACGTTAAACCCAATTCCACCACCACCACCACCACTGTAATCACAAACACGTAAACACATTGAAATAGAAGCTACTCCAAAGTGTACCTTTCAAACGTAGATTTTGTAATTACTGGCTTGAGGGTTGAGTAACTATTTTACTCTTCAACTACTAGATGGATTCCGAGGGTAAACGTTGACAGCGGTTTGTACGACAGAATCAAACTTGCTGGGATTGCAAATTTTGAGTCTAGGCCACTCGGCTTTACTTTGATGTCATATCTAGTTGTCATATATACATGTAACTGCACTAACGCACAAGTCTTTATGTCGTGTGGACACATCAGGCAGTTGCCCAGGAGGACTCGAGACATCAATGTGCATGAAGGACGGTTACAGGAACCCCAGGAACTGCTCCTACTGCAAGTGCACTAATGGTCTGACAGGAAGATACTGCATGTCGGTGGAACCTGGAAGGAATAGTAAGACTTGCATCACGATCAGACGAATGAAACTATTATGATTGCTAATTAACGTGCAAGAATATGGTGGAATGGAATTTCAATAACTCTAATGGATGTCCTTTCCCTTTGAATGTATTTGTTTTACAGTGAACCTCCACTAACCTGACTTCCGATTCCTATGGTAGTGGGCGCTTTAGCCTGAGCTTTAGTGATGTAGTGAGTAAGTTTAGTTTTACGCCGCACTCAGCAATATTCCAGCTACATGGCGGCGGTCTGTAAATAATCAAGTCTGGACCAGACAGTCCAGTGATTAACAGCATGAGCAACAATCTGCGCAACTGGGAACCGATGACATGTGTCAACCAAGTCAGCGAGCCTGACCACCCGATCCCGTTAGTCGCCTCATTCAAGTGAAGGTGACAAGTTTATTTTTGCATTTGAGGCCTCATGGTCCACAGTGCTAAGACACGAAAATCATACAGTACGCAAGATATACTGATATACAATGTAAGACTACTTAATATGGTAAATTTCTTTTGAGGAACAGTGATATCCTCTTTGTAGGGCATAATTTGTTGTTGACATTAATGAGACAAATTTATCATGGGGTGGATTGAGATGATAATATGGTGGTATAAACCGTTCTCTACTTGTCTTATGATGAGGACATTAGGAAGAAATGAAATTCATCGTGAACAGATCCTAAGTTACACTTCGAGCATTACGGTTGGTTATGATCTTTCAAACGTTTAAAACGTAGTAACTGAACATTTAATTTATGCGATGCACAACGTGTTTAAACATGTTTCATTCAGAGAGTTGTAAGAATAAATTACATTCATCCGTAATATTCCATAAAATGCACCCAGTCAAGACAGGCATATTTGTTATAAGATAATGCAAATATATATACTGAAGGAAACAAATAAGGGAACACCACTTCATGGCAGTGTTCCTTTATGCATTCTTAGATTTCCTCCCACAGTGCTGTTCAAAAGCTGGTGATGAGAACTGGAAAATAGTAAAGGAACACTTGAATTTGCCTGTGTTCCTTTATTTGTTTCTTTCAGTATATTTCAACCATGACACATACGCGTCCAAATTCCCAAAAAGTTCCTCCAAGTATGATTTTGTGTTTCTTATTTGCAGCTAACTGTAGTTCGACATCTTTGGTGGCGACACCGGTGTGGCAAACGTTGACCTCCCCTGGCCACAACACCACGGGGTACACAGCGTTCTCTGCATGTTCTTGGCTTATAACGGTGAGGGCATATTCTCCAGATACGATTTTAACCATTTGGTTTATCAAATACAGTCAGTTTAAAAAACATGAGTGTGAGTGAGTGAGTTTAATTTACGCCGCTTTTAGCCATATTCCAGCAATATCATGTGGGGAATCGAACCCGGGTCTTCGGCGTGACGGGCGAACGTTTTAACCACGAGGCTATCCACCGCAGAGGCTTGTGATTGCTCCCAACTTTGGCGAATATGTTCGATGGCCCACAAATATTGTTCAGTTCTTGTCCACTGAAGGGGCGGTACCCTAATGGTTAAAGCGTCCACTCGTCACGCTGAAGACCCGGGTTCGAGTCCCCACATGGGTACAATGTATGGAGCCATTTCTGGTGTCCCCCTCCTTGATATTGCTTGAATATTGCAAAAAGCGGTGTAAAACCATACTCGTTTGCTAGTCCACAGAACTAAATCTTTCACTCCATAAAGGCATTTGAAATTTTTTTCAGCCGAAATATGTATATATTGATGTTTCTTTGTATCAGTTTTACGCCTAATCGAATATTATATTTTTGACAACGTAATATTGTAAAACGATTGCGTAAAGGGCATACCCGCCACTCACATATTTTATATAGTTTGTTTCACAAGGTGCACCGGTGTCATGAGAGGCAATTACGTTTATGTACAAGGAACACGTGAGAAATATGTTTCACAACTGAATGATTGTTCATTATTAGGCACCCAACAACACAGCCATTACGATACGCTTCAGTGGATCATTTGACTTTCCTTGTCAAAGTCCTTGCATGGACTTCGTGGAAGTCAGGTTTACTGATCTGGCCAGAACCGGGCCAAGGTTTGTATGCCTCTCAGGATTTCTTATCACCTTAATTTTGATTTATCTTATCTTCTTGAGTACTTTAACATTAATTTGTCAATAAAATATCAACTTTTAAAATGTTTTGTATTTTATTTTTAATGTATAAACAGATCTTAACTCAAAATGAATCATGCTTCTACGCAATTCAATTCATTTATTCTCAAAAAGAACTACCCACGGTATGTAAATGTGTTATAAGAAATTAAAGGCATTGAAACAATCAAGCTGGCAGTTTACCTGCTTATCACATTAAAATTTTAGAAAAACAAGTATAAAAATACATTGAACATTGTTCACGTTACCAGATACTGCTGCTCAGCGCGCCCCCTACAGTACTTCCGGTCCCATGGGAACGAAGCTCTGATCCTGTTCAAGGCCAACTCTAGTTTGAGTCGAAATGGATTTGCCCTCGAGTACAGGACAGGTCAGTTTATATCACAAGTGCTATTTTCTTGTATTTGTTTCTATTAGAAGGCATTGCTTTAACACAGAATCCCTACAAAGCTCTTACTGGCCCTTTTACATACGAAATATTCTGAAAGTTTCTCCGTTTAATTTGAACGACTAACAGACGGAGATAAGTACAGAGAGTAACTGAGGTCGTCCACTAAAGTAACACGATAAGTAACATTTTTGTGGCATTATATCATAAATACCCTCGATTAGTACCCTCGAAACAGTGTAAAGTTTTGCTAACATTTGTCTGGGAAAATTCAATTGCCAAGTGTATGCTTGCTTGTCAGTTTAGTTTAGCCAATAACTTACGTTTAGCCATTTGTTGCGACTAATGTTATGCTTGTTGCACCTGTACTGACTGAATTAGGTTTGCTTTATGTAGACATGCAAAGTCAAGTGGTCACCTGGAAATAGAACACGGGAAGTTACGCTGCAAGTACAAATGTCAGTTGCATCGGTCATTATTATGCGTCAAATTGGAAATGGCCTCTGCTTCCCAGGACAGTTCTCACTGAAAATATTAAAAAGCCTTGATTGTTTTAACTTTGATCTGAACGAGAGTTAAAAAGTATTGCGGAGAAGCTTTTGCCAGACTGAATATTTATGCATTAATGCAAGTAGGATAATCATGACTCCGTCCCATTGATCTTCTATATTTCTAGTTCAGATAGGTGAATCAGTAGCAGGAAAATGGCTACACAAGGGTGTTTGAACGACATCAGATCGTCGATATATCTGGGGCTGAAGTTAAACTTCTTGGCCGCATTAACTTCAGAAATTCATACTTTCAAGAAAGGAAACAAAAAAAGAATAAATCGTAAGCTAGCATCCCATACTGTGGGATGTGATGTATTTGTGACCAGAACATATGGTGTTACAGAACCTTGTGGAGGTTGTTCCGGCAATGACTCAGTACAGCCGTGTTTGGAGACACAGAGATTCAATTGTCCAGGCGTCTTCACCGGCAACTGCAACTTCTGGGGCTTCACTCGCTGTACAAAGTAAGTTCATATAACAATATCACTTTTATTGCTTGCTTTCTGCTTTGGATTCACCGTCTCTGAACTACTGATTTAAATGATGATAAAAATAAAATAATAATCTGCAATACTTGTTCCAGTCGTAGACGGAATACATGCTACCGAATAGCACAGTCCTGTTGTGAGGGATACAGACTCATCAACAATACTTGTTACCGTAAGTTACCTTCTTGTAAATGTAATCTCTCTATCAAGCAAACGCGACTGCGAAATCAACTGTGAAGTGTTAATGGGTACAGTATAATGAGTGGGGTATTCATGCTTCACTGCGGCACGGTATCTCAGTGGGCTAGCACTATAAAACCAGCTTCATTCTGGGCTAGTACAAGCATGACGTCGTTATATGAGCGTAATATTCTCAAGCACGACGTTAAACCCAATTTCACCTCACCTCACTGTGAAGTCTGTCTTTCTGACGGTTTTTTTTGTCTTAAATTTTACCAATCGGTTATTAAGATCAGAGTTGCGCGTATGCAAATACTGGAATATTTACTAGGCTGTATCTTACAATCTTACTAGTAAATTTATATAAACACCAAAGATTCCCGTGTCACAGAACAGCTGTTGTGTGAAAATGTTTGTGGTTTGAATAGGTGTGGTTTTCCAAATATCTGATTTTCTGAATGACTTCCGATGATGTATGTTAGGAATAATTCACCATGTCATATTAGACTCTTAGAAATTAATAGGTCGTTAATGTAGAGCCAACAGCCCAGACAGCCCTCAGGGGAATTACAGATAACGTTTGCGTTGCAACGTAATGCTGATTGTTTATGAACTCTCCATCACTTGTCGGACGTACAACTAATTTCTTATTTTGTTTGATATAAGTGTCGGCATATGGACCAGAGCAGACAATCCAGTGGTTGGCATTACGGAGATTGATCCGTGCATTTGAAATACGAATCAAATTAATCACGTAGTCGTCTTTAAGACAAACACGGGTTGCTGGGCACCATATTTTTACTTGGGATCTCCAAAGCCAACTTAACAGTGTTATGTTATAACCTTTTAAGGTATTCTATCGGATTGGACGGCTTGGTCAACCTGCAGCACTACATGTGGTGGGTGTGGCACTAGGACCAGGACAAGGACATGTATTCGTCCTCCATGCAGGTATTTGCCAATCTAGCTTGCAAGTACATTTTCAAAAACTCAAAATAAGGGATAAATTCAACTGTAAAGGATAAACATATTAAATATGATAACTGCAACGATACGCCAACTTCAAAATCTAAAGACAAACAGTGTGGTCAGTTGTGTATGCGCCTAGCGGCACTAACAGTGAGTACCATGGACGTTTTGACCATTTATTCCAGCCATATACTCCACATTATCAGGCAGATATACACCCACGCGTGCATGCATAGTTGAAAAATACAAGTCGACGGCTATCATTATTTCTGTATGACAGTGAGCCATTAAGCGAGACGGAGAGATGCAACACTCAGGTATGCTCGGGGATCCCCGTGTCCAGTACCTGTTCCTTCAGGTTTCGATGCGGATGGTGGTTCTTTAGAAGACAATGTACCAGGTGAGATACACATATTCATCCCCAAGAAACCCTCCGGCCATGATCCAGTCTACATAGCATGTCGTTGTCACAATGTAACTTGTTACATTAATGGTACTTCACAAGATGTTGTAGATTCCGCACTTAACACTGATACTTCACTGTACTTTAAACTGTAACGAAAGCAGTATCCTTCCGATAATTTGTTGCATTAATGATTGAAATAAACATGCTTCATCATAACGTTGTGAGTGAGTATGGTTTTACGCCGCTTTGAGCAATATTCAACTGAAGCAATATCACGGCACATTGTACCCATGTGGGGAATCGAACCCAGGTCTTCAGCGTGACGAGCGAATGCTTTAACCACTAGGCAACCCCACCGCCCCCATAACGTTGTGAATGATTGTAGACAGTAACGTGATTGTAGACAGTAACACTATTGTAGACAGTAACACGATTGTAGACAGTAACTTGAATATAGACAGTAACATGATTGTAGACAGTAACACGATTGTAGACAGTAACATGATTTTAGACAGTAACGTGCTTGTAGACAGTAACATGATTGTAGACAATGATTGTAGACAGTAACATGATTGTACACAGTAACATGACCTATCTGTGTTTTGTGATATCTGATACCTTGAAGAACCTTTATGTAGTTATACATCAAAGTAACCTGTCATGCTTCGCGGTAACTTGCAGTAGTGATGCGTATCCCTGCAAAGGTGGGGTAATGCATCTTAACTGATAAATGGGTAAGATGCTAATTAAAAATCATATTTCAGTATTTCAGTTATATCAAGGCCTGGCAAAAATATGCATTGATAATCTCCTGAAGTGATTTTCACCCTGACATGTTGTAATGATGTTTCAAAGTAATATGTTGTTGATGTTTCACCGTAACATGTTGTGTTGATGTTTCACCGTAACATGTTGTGTTGATGTTTCATCGTAACATGTTGAGTTGATGTTTCACCGTAACATGTTGCGTTGATGTTTCACCGTAACATGTTGCGTTGATGTTTCACCGCAACATGTTGTGTTGATGTTTCACCGCAACATATTGAGTTGATGTTTCACCGTAACATGTTGCGTTGATGTTTCACCGTAACATGTTGCGTTGATGTTTCACCGTAACATGTTGCGTTAATGTTTCACCGCAACATGTTGTGTTGATGTTTCACCGCAACATATTGAGTTGATGTTTCACCGTAACATGTTGCGTTGATGTTTCACCGTAACATGTTGCGTTGATGTTTCACTGTAACATATTGTGTTGATGTTTCGCCGTAACATGTTGTGTTGATGTTTCACTGCATCATGTTGTGTTGATGTTTCACCGTAACATGTTGCATTGATGTTTCACTGTAACATATTGTGTTGATGTTTCGCCGTAACATGTTGTGTTGATGTTTCACTGCATCATGTTGTGTTGATGTTTCACCGTAACATGTTGCATTGATGTTTCACCATAACATGTTGTGTTCATGTTTCATCGTAACATGTGTTGATGTTTCATCGTAACATGTGTTGAAGTTTCATCGTAACATATTGTGTTGATGTTTCATCGTAACATATTGTGTTCATGTTTCATCGTAACATGTTGTGTTAATGTTTCACCATAACATGTTGTGTTGATGTTTCACCGTAACATGTTGCGTTGATGTTTCACCGTAACATGTTGCGTTGATGTTTCACCGCAACATGTTGTGTTGATGTTTCACCGCAACATATTGAGTTGATGTTTCACCGTAACATGTTGCGTTGATGTTTCACCGTAACATGTTGCGTTGATGTTTCACCGTAACATGTTGCGTTAATGTTTCACCGCAACATGTTGTGTTGATGTTTCACCGCAACATATTGAGTTGATGTTTCACCGTAACATGTTGCGTTGATGTTTCGCCGTAACATGTTGTGTTGATGTTTCACTGCATCATGTTGTGTTGATGTTTCACCGTAACATGTTGCATTGATGTTTCACCATAACATGTTGTGTTCATGTTTCATCGTAACATGTGTTGATGTTTCATCGTAACATGTGTTGAAGTTTCATCGTAACATATTGTGTTGATGTTTCATCGTAACATATTGTGTTCATGTTTCATCGTAACATGTTGTGTTAATGTTTCACCATAACAAGTTGTAAAGATATTTCACCTTGCCTGTAATGTTTTCTCGTTCAGGTACTCCATTTGCTACAGACTCGACAGATGCTGCTCTGGACGAATCGAGCGGAATGGCTTCTGTAACTGAAGATACCATGACTGTCTCTTTCTGAATAAAAACTAAGCAAATCGTATTTAATACTCTTTGTTATGTATGTTTGAATGTGGCTACATCTGAAACGTGTTTATACGAGTTTAATGAACACCTAATGTCATTATTTGATGTCATCGTAACAGTGAAACATGACAATATGGTATATCTTTGAGCGGTAAATGTGCAGTATCCTGAGACATTTACGTCTTTCGTGTTTAGTCAGCCATTTTGCAAATTGTACCAGTATTTAACTGTATTGTGTACGCAACTGTTTATATTTACATTGTAGTTATACGAAATGTGAATTAGTAACTGCACTTCAAATGGTTATGTCCTTGTACCTCTTATACCGCTGTTTACAATACGCGCGTGTTATACAGTGGTATTATCTGTTCTGTTCTGGCAGTAGGGCAAGTGTTCGCTCTTCCCGCAATGGCCAGGGTTCTATTGCGCCAAAGGTCATGGTTCTAGTTACAATGTCTGCGGCCGTGCTATTGCAGGAATATTATGAAATGTGGGGTAAATATATTTTCACTCTCCCACGCACTGCCCAACGACACATACCTCGATAACATACGGTCAAGGCAGCAGAAATTCTGCTTCTATGTCATAATTTCATATTTACACCGAGTGGACAGTCAACTAAACATTATCAAAACTAAACGAGAAACTATGAGAATACAGGCGAGAAGCAAGCCAGTTTTTTCGTGTAAGTACGATAGGTTGCAAAGGTTTATATTTAGATAGTATTGAGGGCTTGCCCAAACGTTTTAACCAAAATCGTGTGTAAGCCCGGGCTTTATTTTATAATGGTAGCTACGCCCCTGGAATACTTCGAACTGATCTATCGGCGACATTCCTCACAGGCGCTGTTCCTCAGCGTTGAGGTGGAGACTCACGATTTCTGCACACCAGAAATATTCTATCACACCAAAACATTGGTATTTCTCTTGATAAATGGTACACGTCCTTTAAACTGTTGGAGCCCTAAAGTACTTCCTAATATTGTCTTTAGGTAATGAACCCGTGAAGGTCTGGGTAGAATTGATCTTCAGTAACCCATGCTTGTCGTAAGAGACGACTAACGGGATTGGGTAGTCAGGCTCGCTGACTTCGTTGACATTATGTCATCGGTTCCCAATTGCGCAGATCGATGCTTATGCTGTTGTTCACTGGATTGTTTGGTCCAGACTCGATTAGTTACAGACCGCGCTATATAGTTGGAATATTGCTGAGTGTGGCGCAATACTACACTCACTCACTCACTCAGTTTGGGTAATGTTATTTTGATGGGACATCTGCCTATCGGAAATACTAGATACATGTCACATTGCCTGACCCTGTGTTACCTTAACACCGATTCAGATGTAATCTCAGTTTTCGTTGAAACGCCCACGTCGGCTTTGTCTTGTTCTG